CAAGTTCAATGTAAGAAATAAGAGGTGATGCACTTCAGACGGAAGAACATTGAAAGACAATACAGAAGAGGAGGTATAATTCTAAAGGGGGTGCAGGAGCACAGCAACCTGGGTGCCTATGTGCACAGATCATTGAAAGTGGCTGAACAAGTGGAGACAACAATTAATAAAGCATTCGGTGTTTTCAGCTTTATTAATTGAGACACGAAGTACAAGAGCAAAGAGATATATTGAACTTGTATAAGACACTCATTAGACCTCACCTGGAGTATTGTGTGAAACGTGGGAAAGAAGGGTGTGGTGGAGGGTTATTTTTCAGACTGGAGGCCTGTGACCAGTGGTGTGCTACAAGGGTCAGTGCTGGGTGCACTGCTTTCAATCATTTATATGATATGTGAATATAGGAAATATAGTAAGTTTGCAGATGACACCAAAATAGGTGGTGTAGTGGACAATGAAGAGGATGACCTCAGAATACAATGGGCCGAGGAATGGCAGATAGAACTGAATTAGATAAATGTGAGGTGTTGCATTTTGGTAAGACAAAGTGGGCAGGACTTATACAGTTAACGGGGCCGGAGGGAATGTTGCTGAGTGAAGAGAGTTAGGAGTGCACGTGCCTTGTTCCTTAAAAGTGGAGTCACAGGTAGACAGGGTGGTGAAGGCAGCACTTGGCACACTTGCCTTCATTGAGTGTGGAAGTTGGGACATCATGTTGCAGTTGTACAGGACAGTAGTGAGGTCAATTTTGGGTTCTGGTCACCCCTCTACAGGAAGGAAGTTGTTAAACTTGAGGGCATTTAAAAAGAAATCTACAAGAATGTTGCCAGGACTGGAGGATTTGAGCTGTAGGGAGAGGCTGAGTAGGCTGGAGCTTTTTTTTTCCTGGAGCGTCAGAGACTGAGGGGGGACTTTATAGAGGTTTATGAAATCATGAGGGCATGGATATGGTGAATAGCCGAGGTCTTTTCCCTAGGGTTGGGAGACAAAAACTAGAACAAAGAACATTACAGCACAGGAACAGGCCCTTTGGCCCTCCAAGCCTGCACTGACTGAAGGTCATAGATTTAAGTTGAGAGGAGAAAGATTTAAAATGGACTTCAGGGCTAACTTTTTCAGAGGGTGGTACATGTATGGAACGAATAGGGAGGCAGATACATCTATAATATGAATAGAAGGGTTTAGTGGGGTATGGGCCAAATGCTGGCAATCGGGACTAGGTCAGCTTGGGATGTCAGTTTGGCGAATGAGTTGAACTGAAGAGTCTGTTTCCTGTATGACCATGTGAATGCATTGGAGTGTAGAAACAATTTATAAGGAATGAGAAAATTCAGTTTGAGGACGGATTGAAGAAGTGAAGCCGCGGGATATTGTTAAATGTATAATTCTCTTTGGTCTTCAGTCTGGAAAATGAGAATGTAGGTATGGAATTCAGGAAAAGGGATTGTGAGGAACTTGCACATTTTGACATAGGAAATGGATGATGTTGGAGACTCTGTTGGGCTTAAAAACAGATTAATCCCTTAGGTCAGATGCATTGCATGCCAGGCTGCTGTGCAAGATGAGGCAGGAAGTTACAGGGGTTCTGATACAAATTTTGAATTCGTCTCTAGCAAATGGGGAAGAGCCAGAGAACTGGTCATGTGGTTCCACTTTTCAAAGATGGTAGAGATGAAACAGGAAATTACAGATGAATGAGTCTTATATCAATAGTAGGGAAACTATTGGAGAAAATTCTGAAGAAGTAAATTAATACCCAGTTGGGAAGGCATGGTTAATTAGGGATTGACAGCAAGGCTTTGTCAGAGGGAGGTTATGCCTAACAAATTTGTTAGAATTTTTTGAAAATGAGACCACATGTGTGAATGAGAGAAGCTTGGTTGATGTAGCCTATATGGCTCTTGGCAAAAGTTTTGCTAAAATCCCACATGGGAGACTAATTCAGAAGGTTAAAGCACATGGAATGGAGGGAAACTTGGTGAGATGGATCAAAAACTGACTTGGGACACAAAGGGTAGTAGTAGAAGGCTGTGCGAGTGACTGGAAGCCGGTGTCCAGCAGTGTACCACAAGGATCAGTACTGGGACTCTTATTATTTGTTATATACATAAATGATATAGATGAACATGTGGGCGAAATGTTAAGTAAATTTGCAAATGACACCAAGATTGGTAGAGTGGTTGATATCAAAGATGGTTGCAGGAAGATACAGATGGGTTGGTCAGATGAGCAGACCAGTGGCAGATGCTATTTAACCCTGATAAGTGTGAGGTGATGAACTTTAAGAAGAAGCAAGAGGAGGGAGTATTTAATGAATGGCAGGGCACCAGTTAGCTTAGAGGAGCAGAGGGATCTTGATGTAATTATTTACAGATCCCTGAAGTCAGCAGAGCACATGAATAGGATACTTAGGCAGCATATGGGACACTTGTTTTCATCAGTTGTGCCACAGAGTACAAGAGCAAGGAGGTAATGTTGGAGTTGTACTGTGTTGGTCAGGCCACAGCTGGAAAACTGTGCACGGTTCTGATCACCTCACTACAGGAAGGACGTGTTAGCCCGAGAGGGGTACAGAGGAGGTTCACCAGGACGTTGCCTGGGATGGAGAAATTGAAGTACAAGGAGAGACTAGACAGGCTTGGATTGTTTTCTTTAGATTAGAAAAGACGGAGGAGGAACATGATTGAGGTGTACAAGATTATGAAGGGTACGGACAGGGTGGATAGAGAGCTGCCGTTCCCCTTGGCTGAGGTCAATCACTACAGGGCATTGTTTTAGGGCGAGGGCAGAAGATTCAGAGGGAATTTGGGAAAAACATTTTCACACCACAGATGGTGGGAGTCTGGAATGCACTACCTGGGAAGGTAGTGGAAGCCAGAAACCTTACAACCAGTTTAAAAAATATTTGGATGAGCAGTTGAGATATCATAACATTCAGAGATGGGACAAGTGCAAGAAATTGGAATTAATGCGCCTTTAGTGGTAATTATTTCAGTGCAGACTTGATGGGCCGAGGCGCCTTTTTTGTGCATGAATCTATGAATCTAAGTTGGGACTGTTCTTCTTAGAGAGAAGGAAGTTGAGAGAAGTTATGAGAGAGCTTTTCAAAATCATTACTGGACCAGACACCATAAATCAAAAGAAACTAATCCTGCTCATAAAAGAAACCAGATTTTAAAATAACGTGCAGATGAGACAAAGGTGGTGAGAAAAAAAAAAAATCTTTTTCACACAGTAGTTTCAATACTGAATGCACTGTCTGGAAGAGTGGTGGAGGCAGTTACATTTGAAGCATTCAAAAGGATGTTGATTATTTGGTTAGAAATTGTGCATGTGTCTGGGGATAAAGGCAAAAGGTTAGAATTCGGTAACAAACATGAGCAGGTATGGTGGGCCAAATCGCCGCCTCCTGCACCTAAACCACTCTCAAAGAAAACATTTCTCATCTGTCTTAAAAAGGAGACCCCTTATTCTTAAACTATGCCCTCCAGTTTTTGTTTCCCTCATCAGGAAAACTTCCTTCAGGTATCCCTCACAAACCCCTCAGGATTTTATGTGTTTTAATAAAGTCATTAAGGTCTAACGGATATCAACCGAACACCTTCCACCCTTTTCTCAAACTATACCCAGCATCCCAGGAACAAGTTGAGTGAACTTTCTCGAAACTTCTTCTAAAGCAATTGTTTCTTTCCCCAAATAAGACGACCAAACACGAACACAGAACTCTAGATGTGGTCTCGACAATGCTTTGCACAGCCGCAGTAAAACTCAACTCGTATGTTCCATCATCCTTACAATGAACAAAACCATTCTATTTGCCTTCCAAATCTATCTGTATGCTAATATTGTGATTCTTGTACCAGATTCTAACAATCTCTCTCCTTTTAAATAGCACACTGCTTTTCCATTCTTCCTGCCAAAATAGAAAAGTTCACATTTATGCACATTATACTTTATCTGCCAAACGTTTGCGCACCCTCCATCTGTTTACATCCCTTTGCAAACTCTCTACCTCAATTAAGTTTTCTACCTAGCTTGGTGTCATCAGCAAATTTAGCTACCATATACATAGTACCCTTATCAAATCATTGATTTAGATTGTAAATAGTCAAGTACGTAACCTGATCAGAGGCACTCCACTAGTTTACAGCTTATCAACCTGAGAAAGGCTCATTTATCCTCACACTCTGCTTTCTGTTAGCTAACCAATCCTTTATCTGTGTGAAAGAAGTATTCCTTAATCCATACACTTAACTAGTGCAATGTTTGATGTGGAACTTTGGCATGGGTCTTTTGGAAGTCCATGGGCATCACATCAACCAGTTCCCGCGATCCATCATGAATTTCACTTTGCTAATTAACTCATCAAAAAGTTTCTTTAAGAAAACCTTGTTGGCTCTGCCCAATCATGTGCTCATCATGTTAAGGACCATCAACAGCATTTGATGTGCCCACAGAAAGAACAGAAGAGGCACTGCTGTGGAAGTTCGAAGTTCTAATGACCTGAACTGCCAGTCCAATAGACATCCATGGCTCATCCACTTTGGACTTTTTGGTCATGAAAGGACCAGCTGAAAGTGATAAAATCATTTCCAGCTTAGGCAAATTCTAATGAGGAATAGCACATGTAATCTCTGAGTGCATTCCTCATCTCTGGACTATTCAAAATAAAGACCATACCCTATGTTGTTTCTTAATTTTTACCCCATAAAATGCTTTTATTGATTAAAAGAAAAATCAAACTTATAAAGATATTTGGTAATTAATCATAATTAGTGTTAAATACTGTTAGCATTAAACAAGTTTCTTCACAAAAGGAAACCAATATCCAAGAGGAGCATCTTTGTTTTCTTTAAATGCTATTTTTAATATGCGATCTGCAATTCTTTTATTACTGAATATAAATTAGGCAAATATTTAATACACAACAGTTGCGTTATTCAAGTTTTGTTTAATAGCTGTTAAACTTAGCTCATTTAACAGTAAGGACCATTCTGATACCACAGAAGATTAATGCACAAGGAAAAACTGTACAGATTACGGAACAAAAACATAGTATTCACAGATGCAGAGAAAACATATACTTATTAACATTTCTGTTTACAGAAACTGCTGACTAAATCCCGGTCTCAAAAACATTTACCATGGCCTAATGAAGCAATTTTTATGAGCAAGCTGAAACCTATCGCGATCAAGAAAAGTAATCTCTTGTCCACATAATATTTCATCCACTCAATGCTTCTTATTCAGAATTCACACCAGTTATGCAGAAGGGCCATATAATCATTAGCACATAATGTCACACCATACAATTTTAATCTAGGCTTTAAATTGCAACTATGTTTTACTGAGTTCCATGCTGGGACATAATTGTGATTTAAAACAAAGATTTAAGAAATGTGCAACTTTTAAAAAGAAACGTAAAATGCAGCAATATTACGTGGTCTATGTGCTTCCACCTAACCATGATGTTAAATGCAAGAAACCAGTATGAAGTTTAAAAAAAAGCCACATTTTGCCTTATAAAAGATCGGCTTCTGATGAGGAAAGCCTATTTTAAATGCAACTGTCTTCCATTATTATGGCTTGCTTTATTGCCTGTTTTGACCAACACATCACATTTGTTGAATCTTTGGTTAATGTCACCTAACACAGGCTTATTTTTCTGTTGTTGATGTATAGTAATAAACTGATCATCACAACCGAGTGGCCTCTTGCCCAATGTTTAGTATCCACTTTTAACAGTAAAATCTCCCAACTTGTACCCAATTGATTATTTTTCCATCTGAGCTACAAACATATGATGATTTAAAGGAGCCTTGTCTTTGCAGTGCACTTCATTAAAACTTCTTTTTGATTCTACACAATTTCAGTATAAGTCCATTTTGAGAACTTTGATTATTGGTACATAATATTATGTACTATCCATCATTCTCTCAGCTGTCAACAATCCCATTTTTACTTCAGCTTAGCTCAAAACCTGCTGCTGATTCAATTGCATAAAGTAATTTACTCCTCATAAGATTTTCATCATAAAATTCTGGAAGTTTCAGAAGGTTCATGCAAGTACTGGCTGTGGGTAATCGCTCCAGGTCAGTTCCTCCATTGTGTATACAAAACGCTGGGTACAGCTCCTGAAAACAAATTAAAAATTAGACTATCTTGACAAAAAAAAAAGACAAAGACAACGCCGTCCCCTTACAAATAAGCAATTATAACAGTTGTCATTTTTAAAAAGAGCAATCCCAGGTAGCCCTCCTTAGCAAATCTTAAAAACAAAATCTCTTGCCACATCCAGAAGGAATATGAATAGGAATCAAGATTATAAATTAAAATTAGTCGAGATTATTCTAACATTGAGGTAGAAGTAAAGCAAAGAGACTATTCAGATTCAAAAATAAATTTCAAAGATCATTACATATTTAAAGAACATGAACAAATGTTTACAGAAGTTGTATAGCCAAGGAAAGTTTTAGAGATACTAGTTGAAATAAATCAAATATATTTCAGCTTCAATTGTCGAGGAAGCAACTATTTACAAAGATCCAGTTTGGTCCTATCCTGACATTCGATAGCATTTGGCCCATTCCAGTTTATCCATCCTAAAAGTTCCTAAACCTCCAGATAATATTAATCCTAACTTAAATAAAAACAAAAATGCTGGAAAACTCAGCAGATCTGGTACTGTGGGGGCAGAGAGAGAGGGAGTTAATGTTGGATTTGGGATAACATGTTGGATCTCAGATGCTGGGTATTAACTACATCATTGTTCTTTGAATTGTTTCTAAAGCCCGAATGTCTCACTGATCAGAATGGGCATAACTCAAATATCTGGAAAGAGCAGGTATATTTATACACAATTAAATGCTTATTTTTTATCAGTTGATTTATGGAAGACTTCTGCAAATTATCAAAGGGCACCACATAAACATGCATGGAATGAGATACCATTTACCCAACAAATCTATTCCTTCCACACCACAAGCCAATCTCCCATCATGAATTCCATCATGATGTAAACTCCTCACCAAGGCATCATTACATAGCTGTTCTGTAAAAGTCAAAAGAGAAAAAGCTTACCTAAATCTGGTAGCCAGATGACATAATCAAACGGCTAACTTACTACCTGATGAATTTAATATTTTGATACATGGAAAAAAAACTATCAAAATAAAAACACAAACCTGATGTTGGTGCTTAAATGAGATAAAACCATGAAAGAGGACTTCCATTTGACATTTTTAAATGAGCTAGTAATTGGATACAGTTCACAACAAAGAAAAAGGCCCATCATATGCCAATACCTGAGAGGAAGCAAAAATGAATCCTCTTACTTTCCCACTAAGACACCGTAGTTGCCTGTGCTTTAAGTGTTTATCAATTCACCCTCAAAAAAAATCCTCTACCTCAATAATAGTGATGTTGTAGCAGTAATGACATTGGATTAGCAATCCAGAGGCCCAGGCTAATTCTTTCATGATGTGTGTTCAAATCCCACCATGATAGCTGATGGAATTAAATTCAATTAATGAATCTGAAATATAAAACCAATCTCAGTAATGTTAACCGTTGAACCATTGTGGGAAAATCCCATCTGACTCAGTACAAGTGCCTTTCTTACCAAGTATGGCTAACATGTAACTTTAGACCAGTGTAATGTGGTTGGCTAGCTAGCCAGCCAGCCAGCCAGCTCATGGGCAATTAAGATTGGACAAAAAAAAAACTAGCTACATCTCACAAAAAAGTAAAATTAAAAGCTCGGCAGAAAAGCATTGCATGCACGAATAATTTCCTGTAAAAAGAAACTGGCATCAGCTTCTCTCCACATTCTTAATTTTAAAATCAAAACTCTATTTATTTGCTCCTCGAGGAGCAAGTCTCTTATTCATTATGGCTAAATCTGAAGTAAAATTCCAAAAGTTAAACCTCCTTTGCTCTAATTATCCCAGTATTTCAGTCGCAATTTGGAGGAGAAAAATAACAGACAAATGACCGAAACTGGTTCCAATTATTAACCAAGACATTCTCATTGTTTCACAAATGGTTTCTCTAACTATGTAGAGAATTTCTCACCAAATACCTGCTTGGAAAGATAGGGTTTCTACAAATCCATGTAACTGGTTCCTCACAGAAAATAGGAGCAGGAATAATCCATGCAGCCCCTTGAGCCTGTGCCATTATTCAATATGATCACAGCTGATCATCCAATCGCATTCCCACTTTCTCCCCATACCCTTTGATCCATTTAGCTCTAAGAATTATAACCAACAACTCCTTGAAACATTCAACGTTTGGGCCTCAACCTTTTATGTGGCAGAGAATTCCATAGGCTCACCAGTCTCTGGATGAAGAAATGTCACCTCACCTCAATGGCTGCTAAAGCCCAATTTCATTTGGTGATAAACTAATATCCTGAAATGTGAAAGACTGGTATATTAATTGATCAAACTCAGGAAAACTATTTTGAACATTAAATGGAAAAAGGGAACATTTACGGTTAAGAATTACAGTAATTCTTACAGCAAAATAGCCACATTTCTTCAATACAACAGAATTGGCCAAGCAAAGATTGAAAATAAATAATATCTATAGGTACAGTTTATGCAAACTGCATGATCAGACACTCTGGATTTCCCGTAATATCCCTCAGATCTTTAAGCCTTTAAAAACAGTCATGACTTCTGCTTAATAATTCTTGTAAAAGGATCATAAGACTCATGTAAAATTAAATGATACTTTGCAAAAAATTGCAGTTGACAAGGGTGTTGTCAATATATTCAGTGATCCTAATCTACAACAGAGATTTAGCAATTTAAAGTTGTGGTGAAATGCCCCCCTGAACTCCCCCCAACAACAATCCATTTTTCTGCCTATTAACTTATTAAACCATCATTGCCTGCAGGATGTGATATTCTGGAACAGATGATTTTCTGAAAAAGATTTCAATCATCTTCTAAAATGGATTAGCGTTGACAGTGCTATTTCTTTTCTAATGAATTTTTGGACATTTATTGCTCTTAATTAAAGATAAGGCAGCATTAGTACAGAGCAAAGTCAAAGTGCAGCCTCTGAACAGAATGCTTATCAAGCAATGAAACTGCTGGTGAAAATAAATGCAAAGTAGTAACAGCTGAAAATGGATGGCTAAGAAGCTTTATACGCTTGGCAGATTGTGTTCTGATTCACATTACATTACTCTGGGCACTTCAGTCTTCTCAGTGGATATATAAATCTGTCTACTTAGATTACACATGTCCATCTCCCTGTGCTTTCTCTGTATTAGAGGGTCGTATGGTCTGTTGACTCATCCTGAGAATGCTTCTGTTAATTCACTTCACATTTAAGATTGTGGAACGTTACTGTGACAAAAGAAAAGCATAAATAAGGTCCATTCATGGCTCAACAGGTTTTAGGCAAGACACTTATACATTTGACACCCCTCATTCAGACAATAGGAAATTTGTGCTCATATTGATGAAATCGGTACCCTTACATTTATACTTGTATTGACATGATCTCAACTACAAAGCACCAAAATTGAAACTACTAACTGAACTATAGTTGAAGAAGTTGCAGCTTATTTAATTAACTAATCACAGCAGGGAATGATAATACAAGAAAAAAAACCACTTGATTGCAGAGGTTTGATGTATTCTTCCCTTTCCATTAGATGATTTTAACTTCACCTTTAAAAGCTCCATTAATATAGCACATCGAAAGAATTCTCCCCTGCCCCCACTTCCAGATAGAAACTTAGCAAGCGGGAGCAGGATGAAGCCACTCAGCCCTTGGAGCTTGCTCTGCTATTCAATATGGTTATGGGTGATCATCTAACGCAGTATTCTGTTCCTACTTTCTCACTATATCTTATGATCCCTTCAGCCCTAAGAACTATATTTAATGCCTTCTTGAAAACATGCAATATTTTGGCCTCATCTGCTTTCTGTGACAGAATTCCACAAACTAGGTGAAGAAATTTCTCTTCTCAGGTGTACATGGAATTTCAAGCAACCTTCAAACTTGTATATATGTCATCAATAAGCTAACTGCAACAAACTATCTTTATATTACAGGGGACGGATAGTAAAAAGTTTTCCAATTACAATAGCTGAATTCAAACTCAGCCTTATATAAAACATGCACATGGACTGCAACCACGCATAGTAATATGAAAAATTATTTCCATCTCTGCTTTTCTTAAATATTCAACCAATCAAAACTGCTGGAAAACATAATACGCTGGATGGACATATGAACCAAGTCTCAAATCAAAATATAATATTAGGTCAAGAATTGTAAAGGTTAACAAGGATCAAATCAGTCAGCAGAATGCACACATTAGATAAGGACAACTTGGGTATTTTTTTTAAATCGGGTAGTTATTTGGAGGTGATTAGCCAGATACTTCTCAACGACAGTTATTTATTCTTCTTGCTTTAAGTGATTACTACCTGGTAAATTCATTGTTTTATTGATCAGTGGGTATTAATTAGAAGGCCTACAACATTAGCACCACAATGAGGAAATCTTTTACAGCTCAATTCTTATGTTATCATGTTCCAGACAAATAGCAAAATATATGCTCAATACTGCATTGTAAAGATATAAAAGCTCCAGACAATTCATAACATGCATTTCAAACTGCCCCTAGATATTCTGCAGAAGTTAACACTCACCTATCAAACAATTTATTTCACAAATACTACATTCATGCAAAATGTTACAAATCCAAAGCAAGTGTTTAACGCATTCCATACTGGACATCGGCCCTGACTTCAAAACTGTGATAGAAGATACAAATTCTGATAGTAAACAGCTGTAAATTACAAGAAATGGACAGGGCATGATGTAAGAAGAAAAAGACCAAGGATGTTTGTGCACAAATCTTTGAAGGTAGTAGAACAGGTTAATAAGGCGGTTGACAAAGCATAGAAGCTTTATTAATTTATGCACAAAATCATTGAACAGTTATAGCAGAGGTGACCACCAATTTGGTCTGTTTCTATGCTATCTTTCTAAAAGAGCAATTCATCCAGTGCCACAACTTTGTCTTTTTCCATCGCCATGCAAATGGTTGGTTCTCAGATAATGAAAGATCTCAATTTTTATTTTAAAGACTAAAATGACTCCCTCC